AATCATAGTTTAAATAGAGAAGTGGCATTAATCAGCTAATTGAAATGATATGAATGTAATCGTTTTTGCTAACATTTTCATTCGTCGTTTGCGTATTTTCTCCAACGAAAATATTTCATTTTCAAAAGTGCTTCAAAAATTTTTGGAATTATAAAGTTATATCAATCAAAAATACGATGAATCATTCAGTTGCATTCATGCAGTTGGCATTCCCGTCACACAAATTATAAACTTTTATCAGTCAACAAAGTAGTGATTCATCCATTTTATTGCCTTTTCAGATTTCAACTAACAGTAACCTCAGCTTCTGAAAGGCATTGTTTAACAAAGCTGAAAGTTTGAATTTTTCCTTTAGCTATAAAGAATTAGAATGCAACAGGAAACTAGCAATTGCATAATAAACAAAAGTTTTTGTTGAAAGTTTATTCTATAAAAATATCGGGCAAACTTTTTAATTTTTTTATCTGATCAATGACAAAGCATTGGTTTCATTTCTGCTAAGATGCAAAAAATGATTCTGATTTGGATTAGCATATTTTTACTTTTTATTCTATTTGAAATTACGAAGAAATGTTAAAGAAATTTACATTTCAGAATTCATGAATTCATTTACTCACAGATTTTCATTAATTTTACTTAACAGTGAAGTTGAACAATTTTTTTTCTATTTTTCAGTTCAATTTATTTTCTAGAAAATGGTTTTAAATTAACCATAATAATTTCTTCATATATGAACCTTAGAGAGTTTTACTCATCGCTGATAAGCTCATCGCCATTTTTATCAATCGCAATCACTATTCAATACAATCTAACGTTTTTTTCATTGCTGCAAATATTTCACGTCAAAAAGATTAATGAAAATAAAAGTTGTTTACAAAATTGCAACACTTCCATCATGTAATCAATTTTTAAGATTAATTGTAAATTTTTGATCATTCAAATATAATTGATAAATATGCAAGCAACGTCGTTTTCATTTATTTTACTTCAATTGTATTTATTATCTGTCTCATCGAAAATATTGAAAAATATTCAAGAATTGGTGAAAAAATGATTTCTTTCTATTGACTAATTTCCTTCTTGCACGTCAAACGTTACCACAAATTGCTACCTTTTGCTGTACATATCGAAATTAATTGATACAAAAATATCCCACACAATTATTATTCCATAAACAAAATTCACAGTAATTATTTGAAGAAATTTAATTTAGCCTTAACAGCATCCCCTGTAATAATTAAACATTCAGTACAAAGATTGCATGTTTTATAAATTAATATTAAATGAAATTGAAAGTAAAAGTAATCATCCTGATTGCAGCAAAATAAGTCACTCGAAAAATTTTCACACGAAATGGTAATATTATTTTTAAAAAATTTTACAATAATTAGTGTTTTTAGAATAGAACGAAGTAGAAAAAGATCAATGCAATACTGTGTAATTATTACTGTAAATTGATTATCATTATTTACTTCACTTCGCTGTTTTTAAATAATTGATTGTTTAATTCTGAAGCTTTTTTAACTAGTAATTTTTGATTAAGTAATTTATCATGCAATAGTGAATTTTGAAAAAAAAAATTGTTGAAACTTTGAAATTTTTTAAATATTTCAAACGTAGTTTGGTTTCATTCACAAAATACTCCGACAATTTATCATTGAGAAATATGACGAACAAATATGGAATAATGCTATGTAAGTTTTGTTAAATTTCATTATCAAATTTAGAACTTACTTTCTTAAAACAAGTAAATCAATTTCCCATCTTTTTTTATCGAAATTTTTTTAAACTCGTATTTTACTAAATATAATATAACATCTTTCTATAATCTTCATGTTGCAATGTTTTCAAAATTTTGACAGAATTCTTTCCTAAAAAAATATAAAACTGAAATTTCTTCGAAGGAAAAAGAAATTAAACAAATTTCATATCATTTTTAAAATTAAATTTATGTTATAGAAATGTTGCTAAAATTTGTTTTTATAGCAATAAAGCTGGCGGCTTAAAAGATGATCAGATTATCGAAAACCATCGATACTGTGATGAATTCACTTTTCGCTTAATTGCTGGAATTGTTGCATTTACCGGTAAGATGGAAATTTTTTGCATTTTGAAAAATTTTCAAGATTTCCCAGCTATTTCCAAAACATATTTGCTTTTTCTCCATCGGTCTTTCCAAAATTCTGTATTTTGTTAGGGAAATTTTTTTTAATTTTAAACTTGGAATATTCATTTTACTTTTAAAGCAACACATCAATATGCTTCGATCAATATAGGCAAAATTTATGAAATTATTCCAAATGATAAAATTCGAATAACATTTTTGTGATTTTAAAATCGGACAATTCTCATCTTCCAAGGTTTCACTTATGAGCAATTATGGGAAAATTTCGGTGATTTCTATGTTGACTATCTTTGTGATAACGGATGGGATAAGATGTTACGATCAATGAGTCCTGATTTTATGGTATGTCTTTCCATGAATAAATTTACTCTCTAAAAAGAATTACTTACTCACTGAACAAGTTGATAGCGTAATTTTTCGAAAAAAATTAGCTTTCTAATTTTACCTTTTTTGAGATTTTCTAATCAAAATTATTTTGAGACGCTGTTAGATGACAAGTATGCTATCCTTCGTTTTCTGTACGAATGTAAATTTCATTCCTTTTAGGTCTGTAATCTTCTTTATTTATGAGAGTTACTTTCTTAGGATTTTTTATGATTACGGTTATTTACTTATAATTTCCCATGATTAAAGTTATTTCTTTGTGATTTCTTGTGACCACATTCTTTCGAAAAACTATCAATGAGAGGAAGCAAATGCCAGTTTTGATTGTTGCTTAATATCCTATTTTATGCTCCTTTAAGTGCAAACTTCATCAGTTCAAAAAACTGACTAATTGGCAGATAGCAAAAATATAATTAAATAAATTATAGAATTTTTTCAATCAATTGGATTCATTGCATCATTTTATAAGTTTTGCCATTTACAAAAGCACCACAAAAGGACCGCTATTTCGATGTGAAAAATTCGAAAGGAATTCTGTTTTGCTTCATTATTACACCAATCAATGTGGAATACATCCAATTATTAAAGGTTAGCATTAGAAGTAGTGAAAGTCAAAAATGTAACTAAAATTTTTGTAAATCCAATTATGACTACAATAATTTTAATTTATGCATGATTCAGAAATAATATCAATAATTAACTCAATTAGTTAGGACGAGTTATTCCATCGGATATTCTTATTTCAACGAAATTTTTATCAAACCGTTTATTTCTTCATCATGTTAATCTAAGCTCCATTGCCTTGCATTTGCTAATATCACTTTAGTCAAACATATATCATATGTAAAAGAGTGATTATCAAAAATTACTAAATTTACCCGTTGAAAATTATGAATAACTTTTAATTGCTGTTTGTAATTTAAAAAAGTAAATTCGAAGATTTCAAACTTCAATTTAAACTTCAAGCTTGCTTTTTGTAAATTATGTTGCATTTTATAGGTGCAGCACGAAAAGTTGCGAAAAAATTTTTTGATATGGAAGTAAAAATTACGCTTACCGATCTAATCAAATGTGATGTACAATATGCGGGCAACACATATCAACAAGAGCATACTATTTATAAAATTCAAGTTTGTTTATCATATTATCACCCAAATTTTATAGTAATTGTAAATTTTACTTTTTATTTTATAACATCAAATATTGGCATTATTGCAAATAACGCTAATGTTGCATTAATGAGTAACTTTTACAGCTTATTAATCCAATTATTGACATTCAAAAAAATTAAAAAAATTAAAAAAAAAACTTTTTTCATGAACCACCAATGTTTGAGTCCTCTTGCTTAAATCAACTTAATGGATGTTTAAATTTCAAATGTAAAAGTGTTTGTTTTGCTCAAAATTATCCAAATTCATTAATTATTCAAATTTATTTGAGACACATTCTGATAAGTGTGATTTAAAGAAATGAAGAAAAATTTTAGGATTTAACTCAACGTGGCTTGTTATGGCATGAATCACTACAAGTAATAAATGAAACTAATAATATATTGCAAGTTAACAAAGCGGATTTCATTTCCTTACAACCGTATCATTTCATTGCTGATCGAGATTGTAATTTAATACAGTGCGGGAAAGGCTTTTAGTAAGTTTTCAAATCAATTAGCATATGATTTAATTTTCTTTTTTTCTTTTGTTTATTTCATTTAAGCGAGCATATTCCAATGGAATTATTAGCACCTGGCACACGGCTGGAACGAATATTTGATATCATTTGGCCACAAATATCTTTCAATTTTGATATGATACATAATCTTATCAATGCATTATTCATTCTTCAATTGCGAACAGTATTGTGCAATGTGAAGCTTAACAACGTTCGGTAATTGTTAGCTGTTAAATTTAAGTGAAAAAATAATAATTGTCATCTTTAAATTATTATTAGCAAAATTTGGTAGCGATATCAATAAAATTCTTCATCATTTTAATATTAAAATATTCATTAATAGTATATTTAAGATTGCAATTATTAATCTTTTGATAGAAAACTTTATCATCTTTTTTTTAGAAGAACAAAAAATCAGGAGAAAAAAAAGTTGAGGTTAAAAGGGCAAATGATAATTTTGGAAGAGAAAAATCGATTGCTATATATCGGTTCACCAGATTTAAATGGTATTTCGGAACTATTTGAATATGGAATACGATTGGAAGCAATGCCATTACATGATCTCACTTCATATGTTATTCTTCTTAATCAACAACGACTTTCTGATATCGAAAAGAAGTGAGTGATTTTTTTTTTTTAATAAATCAAAAAGAAAAAAAAGCTGAGGTTAAAAGGAATAAGTAATATTTAATTGAGATTAAAAATTTTGATAAATAAATGTAACTTTTACGAGTAATTAGATCACATTGTATAGCATGCATTGTATTATAGCATGCAATTGCAAGCAATTAATGCTAAAATGGAAGAACAAATAGAAAATATGAAATGTGAACGAATTAAAACGGAATCATTGCTACATCAATTGTTGCCAACATTTGTTATTACGCAACTTTTGGATGGCAAAACGGTGAATGCTTGTAAGTTTTTTGATCGCAAAGTTTTATTGATGAATTTTTTGAAGTCAAAGTTGATCTTGAACTTTTGCTTTATATTAAAAAAAAATAATAATCCGCTTTTTTTTCAATGTATATTTCAAACCGTCAATTTCTCAATGCAATCTTTTTCTATTTATTCCTCGTATTTTTTTTTTACCTAAAGAACAATTAGCATTGTTAATGTATAATGATTAGCCGACGATGTAATCTTAAACTGAAGTTAACAATTCCGGAAAAAGTTTCATTTAACCATCATAATTCAATGATTATTGATAAATTGTTAAATTTTAGGTGAATATCAGGAAGTAACAGTAATGTTTGGTGATGTACTAAATTTTCACAATGTCGTTTTGGGTTGTAAGCCACATGAAATTATAGAACTATTGAATGAATTATTTACAAAACTTGATCGTTTGATTGACAAACATTCTGTAAGCTTTCTGAATTTCATACTACAAACATACTGTAATTGTTTTTTACTTTTTTTAAAGTGCAAATCATTAGAATCGAAATTGAAATCAATTGAAACTGGAAAAAAACTGAAATGAAGTATCAAACTTCATTTAAAGGTATATAAAGTGGAAACAGTTGATGACACATATGTAGCAGTGACAGGAATACCGGAACAAACTGATAATCATTGTGAAATATTATGCCATGTAGCACTTGGCATAATTTTTGAAACACGTTCTATCATTGATCCTATTACTGAAAAACCGCTTCAAATACGCCTTGGTATTAATTCTGGACCAGTTGTAGCCGGAATAATCGGTAAAAAAATGCCAAGGTGTGACAATTATTTAAAAAATTTTACAAACAGCAAATTTATGAGCAAAAAAATAATAGAATTGAAGTTTGAAAATTGAAAATTCCCAATCTTTAACCATATGTAACATATGTTCTGAATTATATGAAGGATTTCGCTTTGCAGGATTTAATTGATTAATTAAACTTTTTATTTGATATAATTCTTCAATTGTTATTTATGATATTTCAATAGTACATGTTACCTTCCATAGATTGAATTGGTATACAGGAAGTTTAATTAATGATCAAAGAATTACATTTTATAAGAATTTCTTTGAACAGTTTTAAAATGAAATTTGCAGATACTGTCTTTTTGGTGATACAATGAATACGGCATCACGTATGGGTAGTCATGGGGCACCCGGAAGAATCCATTGTAGCAAAGCCGCTTTTGAGTTTGCTTTTCACTGAGAAAAATCTTAAATGAAAATTTCATGTATAACTATTGAAGACTGTAGCTAATTAATTCACAAATAAGTAATATTTTAGGAAAACAAATTCCCGAGATTTTTCGTTAGAATACAGAAAAAAAATGAAATAATTTAAAAATTTTAGATGTGCTCAAAAAACGGGTAAATTTATTTTTGAAAGTCGTGGTATGATAAAAATTAAAAATAAGGGCGCTATGGAAACATACTTCCTAAAATCGAGTGCCAAAAAATCAATATGGGAAATCACTGGAATTGAAAGAAGTATTTCTTGAATGTTAATTACTGTTATCAGTTCGCAGATAATATCATTTTCTCTTTTTTTTTGTAATTCACATTTCCAGTCACCAAATGGAATTGTTCAATTTATGAATTCATATATGCAGCTAAAATTACAATAAATATAAATTTTATAAACATTGAAATTTTGTAAACGTTGAAATTTTCCAGATATTGATAAACATTCCATTGATGGTTACGCTGAACTGGAAGAAGGCTTGAAGCAGAATGAAGTGAAGAATTGTCAAATCTGCACAATTTTCTAATTTCTGTAAAATAGAAGGTGGGATTTTTTTGAATTTGATAAAAACGGATAAATGAGTAAATATTGCATTTATTCAGCATACGGATCTCTATCCATGAGAGAACCATTCAATGATATCTGTATGGTAATACTAAAAGAAACCTGAGACTTTTGAAGTAATCTTATAAATTGCAAATTTTCATTAGCATTAGAAATAATATACTACAAATTTTTTTCTCGACATGAGCTTAGATTTGACGAAAAAAAAAAATGTTGCAGTAAAAAGAGATAAATTTAGCACTAAAAAATGAGGTAACATTGTTGAGGAAAATTTTGTAGAAATGAAACGTAGTGGTTTTCAGATATACAACCAGATATTTTAATTCATTGGAAAACTTCATAGGCTAAATATTGTTTCAGATGTTGGATCGGTATTATAATAAAGGCATATTATTGAACTACTGATCTCACGGTGATGATGTTGATGGCCTACGTTACATATGATGTAAAAATGAAAAAAAAGAATCTTAATTATTAAAATCATCAGTTATTATCGCTGCTACTGGCTGCAATGATCATCATATGATACTCTCAGCATCAAACTTTTGCGAATATTTTTATGCTTGCAATGCACTGTTTTACTAGTATTTTTATCAATATAAGAACAAAAAAAAATCATTCAGATCAAAAAACGGATAAATATCTAAACCAAATGATCAGAACAGAAAACTTCAAACCAATGTATCAAAATAAAAGATGGGGGTGATTAATCAAATGGAAAAACTAGTCTAATTATAAGGAATCGAAAAGTCTCAGTTTCCATCATCATTAAGCCTTCCAAACACTGTTTAGTCGAACTTCCATCAATTTTCAGTAGCCACTGATATACAATTCTAAAACTTAGACAATATTTTCCACATAAAGAAAGTTAGCAAATAAAATATTATGCAAATGTAATTGAGAATTAAACAAGTCTTTGACAAGGTTTTCATAGCATACTTTTACAATAATTGAAACTATGACAATTTTATGACAAGTTATTGAAAGAGACCCTATTTTAAAGGAAGGTTTGTTACAAGAGATATTAAAAAGGATATTAAGAAATACAAAAATGAGCCAGCAAAAAACTCATTGTAAAAGTAACTGTAAAAAATACAAATGCACTTCGCCAAAGAAAATTTTCAAATTCTAAACGACTGATTTTATGAAGAAAGGACAAAAATGATTCATCTACTCTTAACATATACATACCAGCAGCGTATAAAAAAGTTGTCGCGAAGTGCATCTATGAATTACTTCAATTATTGTCAGATTTTTGTGCTGTTTATATAAAAATATTTCCAATGTGAGATAGTAAATTAATATTTGCGAAGAGCGAATGTCTCTTCCAGTACCCTGCATAGAAATTTCAGCTCCAACAACAGCAAAAAAAAAACAAGAAATTTTTTTTTTTGTCTCCAGAAAAGCTATAAATTATCGACAAAGAACTCAAAAGGTTGACTCATGGCAATTCGAAAACTTTGCCGACTGGATGCCAAATCCTGTGACATTTCTTCCAAACGATTTGTTGATACCATTCCAAAGGATGGACCTGCAGCTAAGGATGCTGACGTTCCTTTTTGCACATTGGTTGAAAATGCAGTTGAATGAACAGCTGATGACATCGGTGCTGGTGGTAAAATCGCGCGTCTGAAATTTTTTTTTAATTTTAATTTCAACTTCGTAGATTAAAAAATTATGCTCATTTTTTTTTTTTTGATTTTCTTTTTTTTGCATGTGGAAAGAAGCAATTCTACTATGTGCAACGAATGGAGAGAGAAAAAATGAAAAATATACCCCCTCCTCTGTTCGCTTCCACTCGAACCATCATTGCTACTTGTTTGACTATGAATATCCGGACCACCACCGGTAGTTTCAGCACCTTTGTACGATATAGCGACATTAGCCGCAATGTATGGTTGCTGATTTGGATATAGTGTTAACGGCATGGATGCATAACCACTTACCTAAGTTTTTTTTTTCAAAATTTAAATATGTCGTATTATTCTGAACAAAATTGAATTTAGCTTCCAGCTATTAAATAGCAATGAAATTAAGTAACTGAAATTTGAAAAGTTCATTACCTATCAGACCAAATGACATCATTTTCATAATTTATAATTCTACGGAAAAAATCTGCGAATTCTTTTGCAATTACTTTAAAAAAATTTGGAAATGTTTCAAGTATTCTGATCACAATTGAAAGCTTATGAAGTTGCAGTTGCAACTGACATTCTTCCGAATTAAACTTATGTAAAGGGTCATAATTCATGCAAAAATTCTCATCGACATTAACTACAGCATGCAAACTTGTGCAAATAGTGAAGAAAATTTTTGAAAGGCACGAAGCTTGCATAAGATTGATATTGCAAAGAATATGAGTGACATTTAGTTCCAGTGAACAAATTTATATGATTTATTGATTGGTATGCTTAAAATCGGCTTCAAAATTCATTATTCTCATAGTGTTCTATTTTCAACACTTCATTTCACAAAATGCTCTCCGATGTTAAGAAAGAACTGATATATCTGCTTGGAGATTATCAGAGCTAATTATCATCTCAACTGTTTTACTAGTTTAAACAATAAATATTCCCTTCTCATATGTGGAAATTTGTGCTGTTCTTCTTTAATGAAGCAAAGAATGTCGTAAAATCTACCTTGGCATACATTTATACTGCTAACAAAGTTACTACCAGCTGATGATAATAATAACAGCCATAAAGATTTGTAAACATATATCTCATCAAAGAATAGACATATCCCAATTGCAAAAGCAGAGAAGTATTGAATGAATTGAAAACAAAAAGAACAACTCGTACAACGTATAATTTTTAAACAAATGTATAGGATAAGCAGTGCGCAAAATCAAATATTCTTTTATTCTTTAAGATGATGGCTTGGTTTTTTGCTTTCTTTTCTTTGATAAATTCGTGCAATGTTATTGAGACATGACTGAAATTAGAAGTAGTAAGTTATTATTTAGCTACCTATTTTTTGCTTGAAAGGTTTTAAGAGAAATCTCAAGTTGAAATATACCATCTAATATGAAATTTCTACCCAACAATAATGATTTTTGTTTCGCATTTTACAATGTTAACCAGTTCTTTTTTATCTAAACATGAATCTTCAATAGTTGCAACAACTAATATGCAAAGCTTAATTCCATCACTATTCTATCACAACACATCGTAACGATTCTAACACTCAATATATATTCCTCTAGACTTTGGAACATTTTTAAAATATCATGAAGCCCAGAGATACTTTCGTCTTACTTACTTAATATAGCGATTTTTTAAATCTTGATAAAATTTAACACTAGCAACAACTTCTTCAATAGCAAACTAGACAATATTAAAGGATAAAAATCCGGAGCTCTTCTATATTATTTATTTATGATCATGTTTTACATACAATCATGTCACCACCTACAGACAAACTTCACTGAATTACTGGAAAGCCTGTACAATAAAATTAGAAAATGCGCATTACTAAACAAAGTTAGTTTAATTTAACATGCTCTTCAAGATTATATAAAAGAAATATGTGCAACTGCTATGAAAACATGCGATTGTTATTTGTTATATTATGAAATGAAAGAAACGAATTTAATTATATGAAGCATAGAAAAATACGATAAAATTTTGTTAGTTGATGAGAATTTTCCAGCACATAGCATTAGAATTCATGCAAAAATTCTAGCTGGTGCAATTGCTGCCAAATTTTAGATGTAATAAAATTACCAGAGAAATTAGATACAAAACTCATGAAGGACAATCTGCAAAAAGGTAAACCACAAAGACCCTTAAAATTAAAAACTCGATATATTTTACCCGTCTATATCAAAGGACTTATTCATCTCAGTAAGATTTTGATTCTTTATTAAAATATAATTCTTTATCTATCTATCAACTCCAACCACCTAAATTCAGCTCATTTTTAATTAAACCTTAATAAGAAAATTAAAACAAAAACCACCGAATACGGTTATTTTAGCGATAAAAATCTATTAAAAAAAAATATTTTTACCGTGTGCCACCTTTTACATCCCTCACTATAAATATTAAATATAATTTGCAGTCCTGAACAAACCATACATGTTTTGACAAATTCTTAATTTAACCATATTGTAGAAGAAAAACTGAATTTGAGAAAGTTAAGCTAGTTTCTTTGCAACGACAAAAATTTCTTGATGTGTTAACAGCTGCTACAAAAATATTCGAAACTATCTTTCGAAACTGTCTCACAAAAACTGTCTTACAAAGATAGCAGTCAAAGCAAAAACAAACAAAGAGTGCCGTTAATTAAACAAACAAGTTAAATGGATTAATTGACTGTTCACATTTATATTTAATGATATTTAATGTAAGTTTGAGTTTCTATTGATTACGACAAATTCAGAATTTTTAAAAGGGTTTTTGAAACATTCCCATTGTTAAAAAAACGAATCATGATATAGAAATAGGCCGATCAACCATAACATTAGAAATCTATTAAGAGTTTCATTATTTCTTAAGAATTAGTGAAAGACTACAGATCTCACAGGAGTTCTGCAATAGTTCAGTCTGCTTAATGTTTCATGTTCGATGTAGGAATCTCGTTAAAATGAACTCATTCCAAATCACAAAAAAGAATTAAGGAATTAATGCAATTTGATTCATTTTCTCTATTCTGCAATCGCAAAAACTGTAGATGCGAAAATCGAACCATTTGAAAGTGGAATAAATATGTAGCTAAAAGCAAATTTCAAAAGAGTATACAAATTGAAAAGGAACGCTTAGAAAAAAACGAAAACAATAACACGGCCGCAAGACCTATTTCTAAAGATTAGTTAAATAGAATCGCGTTGTAGCATCAACATTCGCTGGATTTTCAATACCGCTTACCATTGAAGGTGCACTTTGCGGTATCATCGCTGGCTGAGGCCAAGCACGTCCACTTTGCTGTGCTGCAGCCGCAACAAGTCCTGGTGGTGGTGGTGGCAATACTGAACCCACTTCACTTCGAACACCCGGATCATCACCTCCAGGATTCTGCCGCAAGCGTGCGTAATCTCAAATCGATTAAGTTTATTTCATTTCACTCAAACAAACTACAATAATCCCTGTAAAAAACTGAGGGCGTTAAATCTGCGCTTAATATTTTACCAAAACAAAGTTTAAATATTTATCAATTTCAACAGTTCGTGAAAGTTCAAAAAAAATTTATAAATAAATAAAAACTCAAGTTATATTCATTCCAGTCAAACAAAATAAAGATTCAATTTCCTAAAAACAAACCAGCACATTCTTCGCCCAGAATATAGTAGCATTGTTCAGTGAACGTAATTTTATTGACCACATGACTGATTAACTTCTCTTTCAATAATTCTCCAGCAAATTTACGTCCATCCTTTCGATCACGGAGACCATCAACATGTTCCATCAGCCAGTCGACCAAGTCACTACCTAAAAATGACAAAAGATTGTAAGAAATTTTAAGAACTTTTTTTCAAGAAAGATTACTTAATCTTAAATATTTTGTTATTTAAATATAATTTATCAACAGTGCTGGTTTTTAATGAAGAGTAAAACAGTCCAAAATGCCAACCTCTCATCAGGATTACATTTCAAGCGCAGAAAGAACTACCATAAAGGAAGAGATGAAATTCATAGACAAAATTAAGTATATATATTCATAACATGTATGATTAAAGAACGTCTCTAAAAGCAAACACGAATAAATAATAAATTTTCAGTCATTCCTCTTATCCCTAGCTACTTGTTCTGTATGTTGATAAACAGCTAATGAAATTATACATCTCTAATAATTGCTCCAAGGTAGAAATCTTACCGAGGAAAGACATTGGAATCGGAATCTTAAGCCAAGTGCGATTTTTGATATCTAACCCAGAATTTGGCATAACCATCATTTGAACAACTTTCTTCTTGTCTGTCATAGCATCTAATCGAAAATGGGCTGAAATATAAACAAAACTGAAGATAAAACAAACTTTTTTGGAAAAATGAATTTGAAACATCAAATAGATCTAAAATTTTCGATGTTTTTCTTAGTATTATAAAACAATGCCCTAAAATTATTTTAAAAAAAGGAAAAGCTGTTACCTCCGCCAACAATAGTATTGGGAACAGAACCATTTGATGTTGCAGTGCTGCTGCTTGCAGGTCTGCCGTATTGACCGGGTATTGGAGTTGGGGCACCTTCAGATCCTGCAAAACTTTTTGAACTTCTTAAAATTCATTAAAATTTTAGGCGCAACCTCGAGAAACATCGAAATTTGATCCACTTAAAACATTTCGAAAACAAATCTTTACACAAAACTAAAAAAAAACCTTCGAGAATGGATGGCATTCCACGCATAGCATTAGTATGCTGTATCCAAGCCTGAGTATCAATAGGTCGCACTGGTTCGTCTCGATGTCGGGGAACAGTGAATGCACTTCTTGGTCCGCTATCCCACATTTTAGCTACTGTTAACTTAATTGGTCTAAAGAGTAAAATCGATATTAAAACTACCACTACCAATAAAGGAAGAGAAGAAATTCATGGACAAAATTAAGCATATATATTCATAACATGTATAATTAAAGAACGTTTCTAAAAGCAAAAAAAGTGATGTATATGGAAAAAACAAGAGTTATTTCTCCAAGCAGAAAGTGAATCCACTAAGGATTCACTAGAGAAAAAAACTTTGAAAGCAACTTCAAAGACATTTCCAAATATTTCCATATACATCGCTTTTGTCACATACATATTTAAAAACTCGTGAATTTACCCTCTTCGTGCAACTGATTCGCGCAAAACATCTACTGCCTGATCATTCGTGAAGTTTTCGAATGAAATATCGTTTACTTGTAAAATCATATCACCCGGCTCAATTCGCCCATCTAATGCTACAGCACCTCCTGAAATGCTAATGTGTATTACAGTCGAAGTGCAGTGCAACTGCGTTCTAAATGTAAATGTTCTAGAATCTAATGGTATTGTCATGTTAAGTTAGACAATGTTATTAAATCAACTACCTTTCATAATATTAGCCACATAAATACCATTATCACCACGAGATGAGCTTTGTCCAACAATGCTGATACCCAAGAAGTTCACCGTATCCATATTTAGTGTTACCGTGATTACATCCAATGACATTGAGCTTTCTGTTATGCTACTAAAAGATGAAGCTCTTGAAGGTTGCCGAAATCGTCGACGATTTCGGCGCTTACGATATGCAGGTGCATGATGCTGTCGAGAAACACTAGTAATGTCAGTAGAAGTTGAAACTCTGAAATTTTTTAAAATTTAGAGTACAAGTACTCAAACAAATCAGGAAAGCAAATAACTGTTTCAATTTCTTGCTAGTCTGAAGAAAAAATTATAATTAATGAAGTGACTTCATTTGTACTAAATTCCATAATTAATATCCTAAATTAAGGAGTGATTCTCTATAGAAGTTTAGAAATCGATACAAGAACCTTGAACGGTCATCATCATCCGAGAACAGCCGTGCGTCACTTTCAGAGCCCAACGTTGAATCTTCAAAACGTCGACCTCCGCGATGTCCTGAAATTACAAAGCGCAGCTTAGGAAAGTAATCCCGATATTCTAGTGTTCATCAAATTAAATTTAAATTCAATAAAAAATTTTCAAAAGAGATAGACTAAGAACAATATGTTATCTCTTACTTATAGAGATGCTGTTGCATAATAATATGCGAAGATGACAATTTATGAAGTAAAAGAAACACTAGACTACATACCTTGCGGAATGTATTGCTGCGGAAATGGTCGCCTCGGCATTCCCTTTACTTGCATTGGCAGGCCTCTCATATCACTAATAAAAGAGTCCGAATCTGTAGATGCCACTAAAAAACGTTTTTTTTTTTACTATAAAAGATTAGTTTTAAAAACAATTTAAAAAATTGAACCAACACATAAGCTTTCAAAATATTACTGCTCTGATCAAACTGCTGCACAGCTTGTCGATAAGCCATACTTCCAATAGGATACATAGTCGGTGTTGGGCCCGGGACCGGAAATAAAATAATGCACAAATGCTAATTCATTACTCTTATTTATTGCTTATTTCTTAGCGGCTACTAAAAATTTTTGCTCTTTTTTACTTTCGATAGTTCTTTCTAATAAAAAATAAGTTATGTAAGGCATCGAACTCCATATATAATTCAGCTATTTACAGGTTCAAGTTAATAAGTGAAATTGTCGAAATGATTACATCTTGAAAAAAAAAAGATATACTCAGCAAAAACTTCAAAGCGAATTCAACTTACCATAAGTCGTGCACTTTTCAGTGGAAGACCCGAAGAACCATCGGAATGACTGCTACCTTCTGATGTAAGCAAAAAGAGCTCAAACTGACCATTTGCCGACCGATGTAAACATTCATTGTCATCACGTATTTCTACCTTTACCTCACTACAATGTCTTTTTAATATCTCATATTATAAATACCTAACAGTATCTGTTAAAATGACTTCAAACTCAATTTAGTATCGATTACTTAAGCTGAAAATATTACATAGTTATTAATAGTTCTAGTGAATGGAAAATCTAAAGTTTTAAATCGTATTTAAACAGTAATCTTACAAATCACTTTAAAAAAATTAGTTTTTAATAAAATATGAAAAATATTTGAACTTACGGAAAGACTCCAGAATCGGGAGCGGGAGCTTTACAGTAATATTTAAAATTTGATCGTGTCAACACACGCTTGAAATCACCTAATGTTATTTTATCAGGTGGCACCATGACATCAGTACAATATGGCACCATTTCATCATCGATATGATAATATACCTTAAAACAATTGTCAATATTATACTTACATAAAATTTTCCGCCTGTTTTCAGTGATTTAATCCTTTCTTCACAAAGCATAAAGAGGATGCTGATGTTGAAACATTTGTTTCACTACTTGAAATATTATTAAAGTAATTATCAGATAATTTATTCGCTGTATTCATATTATAATGTCAATAAACATTTATAGAACCTGAAAAGAACTTTACTAACACTTTTCCGAAGACTTATACGAAATTATATCTGGAAATTTATCACGATAAGGGAGGAGCAATAGCAGGGAAGTATATAATTAAAGCAAAGAAGAAACTGAGAAAGCATTACCACGAATTAGACGAATCAAGATGAAACGAAATCAAACTACCAACAGTATAATCAATGCACAATAATAAATTTAAAGCTAACAACGTAACTCTTCCGAATCCACTTGCTGCCTTGGTAGAAACGAAATATTAGACAACAAAGTAACCTTACTTACGCCAATCAATTTCGAAAAAAGTAAAAATCATACTTTTGTACTTGCTTGTTGTGGAGCTCCTATTCCGTGTTCCACATTTCCAATATTTTTGGTAAATGGCACTTTCGATGCAGATGAACTGTCCTTATTGCTTTCATCTTTACTTTCTACCACTGAACTAATTTTCAACCTGGAAACACTTTGCAATAAAAATGAGATTACCGATGTTTGAAAAAATAAATTCTTCGTCATGACTTCCAGAAATACAATTCCTAGAAGCAATAATTTCCTAATAATGTCTTTTTTTTCTATCTAGATAACCAATGAAAACCAATATTTTCATCTAAACAACTAATGAATACAAATTCTACGATTAATCAGAACTGAAATCATTACTTATTTGTTTTCTCAATGATCGTATCCGTTGTATTCGACGTATCAAGCGGACCTGAAGCATCCATTCTTGGGCAGTACAAACTGCCGTCCGAGTGGAAAGTCTCCTAAAGCAACGAATCAAAACATATTGACGTATTAGTAGTAATTTGAAAAATATGTAAATTTCACAAACGTTCTCAGAGAAGTTTATTGTCATTGGGACACATAAATTAACTGAAAAAGAAATATGAATAACCTATATATTGCTTATAATTAACAGCTTTTCTAATTAACTACAATATTTGCAAGAAATAAAGCCGTTTGCAGTAGGGTATAAAGGCTCGTTCACAGTACACATTTAATCATTTAGTGAAGTGGCCTAACTGAAGAGTGCAGCAATCCGATAATTTAGTCAAATATGTCCGGCCATTCGGTAAAGCACATCAATG